CTGTTAAGTGACAAGACTTTTGTCTAAGTCAAAGGCAAAGTCAGACCTTACTGTCCTAATTAAATCATTAAAAATCAAGGCATGATCATATTTTATTTTAGTAAAATAAGCGTAATCTAGAGGCCTTTGCCTTTCATATAAGCCACTTTGGATGCCAAATGATCTACAAGACGTCAAGGTATTATTTGTTGTTCCTAAAACTTGGATAGACGACTAAACTTTTGTTAGGTAATATAGTTTATCAGAGTTAAAGAACACATTTAATGCAAAACAAGGTTTAATGAAAACAAAATTTTCATTAACCACTGTGCAAACCTACAAGTAATAAAAATAAAACATTTGTTTGAAAATACACTAAACCAAATTGAATTAATGTAGAAAATTTAAAGAGTTCAGGTAATGCCTTCATATCAAAGATTATACTGTATATGTACTTCCCTAGTTTACATTGTTGGCAAATGAAGACATGATAGAGCACATGTTTAATGTTTAAGATGTTTTAATACATAATCATGCGCTTGACTGATGTTTTTACCTATAAAAGCACCATCTGCAGGTCATGTTTCCAACACAGAACGAACACTTATGGATTCTAAAAACAATTGTTTATTTTTGCTATTTTTGCTATTTTATTTCAGTAAGTTTTTCAATGTCTGTTGTTAGTTTTGTTTAGTTTTAGTTTGTTGTTTATTGTGAATATTTAACATTTTATTTCTGTTAATGTAAATCAGTTTTAACTTAGTTTTTGTTTTCCTTTACTAAAATAACCTTGAGCCGTAGTACATAAAATAAGTTTGACACTTCTGGTTTTGAGCGATGCAGACTGCTGAGAGAGATGGGAAAAGAAGACATGCGAGAGGGCAAAATCAGTGTATCTGCAAACTTCAGCAGAGCTCAGTTTCATAGTATGCAGCACGGCTTAAACATGAAACCTGGAGGGTACAGGATAAGATCTCACCCTGTCAGGAGCCTGTCCCTTGTGTGATCCTCCCAGTCTGTTCTGGGGTTTGTGTGTGGCCCCACTTAGACAGACGACAGTCGGAATGATCACTAATCAATGAGAGGGAAATGGCAGGAATTAGCACAAATTAGGTGAAGTGGGAGACCTCGCTCCCTTTAACAGAGTCCATACTGCACTGCGGGAACATTTAGAGCTGTCTAACACACACCAGACTCAGCAAAGCGTTCATTTTCTTTTCGGCTTAATCCCTTTATTAATCAGGGGTCGCCATGACATCGGAATGATCCGCCATCTTGTCCAGCATATGTTTTACGCAGAGGATGCCCTTCCAGCTGCAACCCATCATTGGGAAACATCCAAACACACTCATTCACTTACACTATGGACAATTTAGCTTAACCAATTCACCTATAGCGCATGTGTTTGGACTTTTGGGGGAAACCAGAGCACCCGGAGGAAACCCATGCGAAAACGGGGAGAACATGCAAACTGAAATGCCAACTGACCCAGCCGAGGCTCGAACCAGTGACCTTCTTGCTGTGAGGCGATTGTGCTACCCACTGCGCCTCCGTGAAGCCTCAGCAAAACATATATTTTGTATAATGCCATCAAACAAGCTGGCTTCTCTGATATTCCCTGCACTGGACCTGCTTTTAGCAATGATCCTAAACAACTTTACCTCAGTTCCATACGTCAGCAACCGAAAGAGTTTACCACCGCAGTGAACTCTTGTACATCATCACCGCACACCTGCTATCCCGAGAGAGGACACGGCCACCTTCAGCCCAGGCTTGCTGCTGCCGTTGGGGCTTTCAGATCGTAGGAGGTCCGTCCTGCGCTCTGCAGTGCTTTTTCTGTTGAACAAACGGTTAGCAGCCAGCTGTTTTAGCAGAGCTAAACAAACAAAGCTGCACAGCACTGCTAGCATGCTACTCCCCTGGGAGATTTAGCCACTAGCTGTACATTGGACAGGCTCATTTTTGTTGTTCATTTGTAGATATAGTTTGATGGTCTCGATAATCTTTCGTATGCTCCTGTGTAATTGTTAAGGCTGGATTTGTACAAAAAGGAAGCATTTCATTTGTTTTTATGCTATGATGGTGTCCTCAGATTACCTTCTGTTCTTAGATTTAAGCTATTTTTTTAACTCCGATCTTAGTATAATTGACATTTAAAGCATTATTTATTTTTCATTTCATTTTTCATTTGTGTATTTGAGTCTTGTTTATGTTTAGAATTTGTATTTTTGTTGGTTTTTAGGCCTATAACATCTGAAAAAGGAACTATCAATGAAAACTAGCCTTCAGCTAATTTGGGTACATTAACATTTTTGAGAAATGTTGATTCTTGTACACTGTCCCTTTATTGTGAATAAATGAATGAATGAATCCACATACATCAATCATACATTTAAATTTTTTCTTTTTAAATGTGATAAAGTTGGCAACACAGTGGCTCAGTGGTTAGCACTGTTGCCTCACAGCAAGAAGGTCGCTGGTTCGAGTCCCCATTTCTGAGTTTGCATGATCTCCCCATGTTGGCATGGGTGCTCTGGTTTCCAAACATAGTCCAAAGATATGCAGTACAAAACAATTGATTAAACTAAATTGGCTGTAGTGTATGTGTGTGAATAAAAGTGTATGGGTGTTTCCCAGTACTGGGTTGCAGCTGAAAGGTCATCTGCTGTGTAAAACATATGCTGGATAAGTTCTGCTATGGCGACCCCTGATGAATAAAGGAACTAAGACAAAAAGAAAATTAATAAATGAATGAACGAATGTGATACAGTGGTGCAGCATGGCGGCTCATTCGTGGCTTCATTGGTGGCTGCCAATGAAAACTAGCTATTTGAGTTTATTTACATTCTTGAGAAATGTTTATTATTGTACACTGTCCCTTTATTGTGAATACATGAATTTATATATATATTTTTTAAATATGATATAGTCAGCAACACGGCGGCTCAGTGGTTAGCACTGTCGCCTCACAGCAAAAAGGACGTTGGTTCGACTTCTGGTCCAGCCAGTTGGCATTTCTGGTTGCATGTTGTCCTCGTGTTCGTGTGGGTTTCCTCCGGGTGCTGCGGTTCCCCCACAGTCTAAAGACATGCGCTAATGGGTGAATTGGGTAAAACTAAATTGACCGTAGTGTATGAGTGTGTGTGTATGAGTATGTATGGGTGTTTCCCAGTAATGTATTGCAGTTGGAAAGGTATCCGCTGCATAAAACAAATGCTGGTTCAGGGTTCATTCCTCTGTGGTGACCCCTGATAAATAGGGGACTAAGCCAAAGGAAAATTATTTAATGAATAGTAATTTTTCTTCTTTTTATGAAACGTTTTGATTATTCGGTCAACAAATATTCTACATAGTATATTCCAACTCACACAAATGTGTATCTATCCTTTTATAGTACAATGCAAAAATCGTATTTCATTCCCCCTTCGCAGATTTGTGAAAATCACTCCTAATGTGATTCAAATTTTTAAAAGAAGTTGAAAATCAGCATTCACAATCTCAAGGGTGTTTCCATGCTAGCCATGTGCTATTGAACCATGTGAAGCTTACAGCATTCATCTGATGGCAGCGCCAGCGGCTCAGGCTTAGTCTCTCTTTTTGGCCAGTTTTTGGGTGGGATCAGAAGCTGCTTTTGTCCGTCTTTAGCCCGTGCCTTAGTGATGTAAATTCGGGGTGGCCTCTGGCTTCTTATCTCTAGGGTTAAGGCTCACACTGCTCTTTCCGCAATCTATTATCATAAGGGCCAGACTCCTAGCGTGGGCTGCTAGCATTATCCATACCAAATGCAGGGCCATGCAGGGGAACGTTCAGGGGATTAGCATTTTAACACAGTGTGAGTCTAAACCCCTGAACCTCTCTGTCACAGAGGGCAAGTCCCAAATGGCTTGCCAGCTCACTATGTGGCACCCGAAATTAGTGTGCTGGATCAGAGAGCCGTGTTGTGTTTTTGACTTGGCTTTAGAAACATTGCTTTTTTTTATTCTCAGTGAACAACTGGCAGTAGAGATAAAGCATTGTTTAAAGGGATTACTCATTAAGGTTAGCATAACTTAAAGCTTGTTTTTTGTAGGTTAAATGCTTTTTGGAGATCAAACTTGCTCGATTGTGATTGCCAAGACTTGACCAGTACTCCCTTTAGAGGGCCCCTTTCTTGCAGAGTTTAGCTCCAACCCCAAATTTATCAATTGAATCAGCTAATCAAATATTATAAAATGATTCAAAAGAATGCTGGTGTGTTGTGGGTAAGTTGGACCTCTAGGAGAAGGATTTAATACCCATGGCTGATTAACAAATGTATGTTCTCTATTAACCCCTTGGGCCAAGCTGGCACCCATTGACTAGTTATGTTTTATTCCTACTATGTAAGTTGGGGCTGGCCAACCCTGTTCCTGAAGATCTACCATCCTGCAGATTTCAGTTCCAACCCTTATCAACCACACCTGCCTGTAACTATCAAGTGCTGTTCAGATCCTAATTAATTAGTTCAGGTGTGTTTGAGCAGGGTTGGAGCTGAACTCAGCAGGAAGGTAGATCTCCAGGATAAGGGGTTGAGCACCCCTGATGCAAGTCAGTGGGTGCCAACAACCAGCAATTGTCATAATATCTCCTTTGGGTGTTCAACAAAAGAAAGAAACTGTTAAATGTTAACGTAAATGCTATAGGAAATCTGTAGAAGCTACTGTACCAGCTTGACCAGATAAGATAGAACAGATTTTAAAAAATAGGATCAAAACTAGTGGGTGCACTATGCTCTGTTGTCTTAAACCAGGGGTGTCCTAACTCGGTCCTGGAGGGCCAGTGTCCTTCAAAGTTTAGTTTCAACCCCAATCAGACAACCTTGGCTAGCTAATCAAGCTCTTACTAGGCTTTCTAGAAACATCCATGCAGGTGTGTTGAGGCAAGTTGTAGCTAAAATCTGCTGGACACCGGACCTCCAGGACCGAGTTTGCACGCCCCTGTCTTAGACAAACATTAAATGTGAAACTGGTCCTGACAAGTCGTCCTCTCTCTCTGTTTTCCAGGATCCCGTCTGCGGCAGGAAGATTCTCCACCTCGGATTGTAGAACACCCCTCCGATCTGATCGTGTCAAAGGGCGAGCCAGCCACCCTAAACTGCAAGGCGGAGGGTCGGCCAACTCCCACCGTGGAGTGGTACAAGGATGGAGAACGAGTTGAAACGGACAAAGATGACCCTCGATCTCACCGCATGCTCCTTCCCAGTGGTTCGCTCTTCTTCCTGCGTATCGTACATGGACGCCGCAGCAAACCTGATGAGGGGGCGTACGTCTGTGTGGCACGCAACTACTTGGGGGAAGCAGTCAGTCGAAACGCCTCGCTGGAAGTAGCATGTAAGTAGAAGATTTCTTCAACTACTGTCTTGGCTAATTGTTGGGGAACTATATATTTGGACAAGGTCAACCCTACTACAAAATAATTCACCTTTTAGCATGCTGCAGTGCTAGCATTATAGACCTAGATTTTGGTGGACTTGGTACTGCATTGGAAGGATTTTGGATAGAGTCTAATTTCCCTACTTCCAAAATAAGAGATGGAAAAAATATTTAGCAGTTGGCTGCGGAGTTTAATTAGCTCGGCATATGTTTTAGCAAATCTTTGATTTGTCAGTCTGTTTCAGCACAACCTGCCAGGATTTTAGTTTTTCCTTTTGACGAAATGGAAATGTAGCAAGGAAAGACTCAGATGAAAGAGCGTGGTTGGTAGGGAAGGGAGAGGGTGTAGATGCTCTACACAGGAAAGCAAAAATTGAAAGGGGGGTTTATTGACAACCTGTAGATGGGTTTGGCTTTGAAGATGGCTCTCCCCTGGGGTCAATTCCCAAGCTAATCAGAGACCATTATGTGTAACAGCTAATCTTTTCTGCTAGCCAGTGAGTTTGCTATTTTAACTAAGGCTTTTTTTTTTTTGCTGAATCATTGATTGATTGACTGTTGAAGCCAATGAAACTCTTTTGCTAAATCACCCTCACCAAGCAATTCGTATGTTTGATAGATGTCTAATAGATGTCTAAACATAGATGTCTTGGCTAAAACAAGGCTAAATTTGGCCAGTGAAAATCTAATAGACATCTAAGAATACTTGACCCTGCTAAAAAACAGCCTAAACCAGCATAGGCTGGTTGGCTGGTTTGAGCTGGTTGACCAGCCTGGTTTTAGAGGGGTTTTGGTCATTTCCAGGCTGGTTTCCAGCTATTTCCAGCCTGGTGTTAGCTTCCAGCTAAAACCAGCTTGACCAGCCTAACCAGGCTAGGAGCCCAGCCAAAGCCAGCTGTGTCCAGCCTAAACCGCGCTGGTTTTAGTTGGTTTTAGCTGGTCATTTTCCAGCCTGACCAGCTAAGACCAGGCAGGAAATGGCTAGAAACCAGCCTGGAAATGGCCAAAACCACTCTAAAACCAGGCTGGTCAACCAGCTCAAACTAGCCAACCAGCTTAGGCTAGTTTAAGCTGGATTTTTCAGCAGGGGAATACTAGACTAGTTATCAATTACACATATAAGACAGACTTCACATGTGTAATCATTCCTGTGTATCAGTTGACTAGTGTAGTTTTGGGCTGTTCTTAGATGTCTATTAGACTTCCACTGACATCCCAAATTTAGCCTTGTTTTAGCCAAGCTAACTATGTTTAAATGTATATTAGACTTCTTTTTAAACACAAAAATTGCTTGCTAAGACCTTGCGTATATTGTTCTGGGACTTTGTGGTCTCTTTGATTGCTAAATACAATGCAACAACTAAAGTTGTACTCGCGCCCTTATTTCTTTTAGTGTTACACAAAAGCCAACTACACTTGCTCAGCCATAATGCCAAGGCAAAAGTCATTAGAGATTAAGGAGTATCGGTTGTGCTTCGCTGGGTTTGTAGTCTAGACCTGCAATCTAAGTGAGCTGCTATCTTAAAGTCTGTTTCAACCCCGAGTTGATCAATACCTCCGGCCCCTCTTATGCATTGTTATGAAAATAGGAGCGATCCATCATGAAATGAGGATATGATGATAAATATTGAATGAATGGATAACTAAATTGGCTCTGTGTGCTGCAGCCAAGACCCCATGCAGTAATGAGAGGGTGTGTGTGAGTGTGTGTGTTTAGCTGTTGGATAGGGTAACTCTAGATGAAGGGATTGTGGGAAGGTTTTGAGAGCCAGTACATTTTGAACGCCGCTGCATTTTCTATTTATAACCTGTAATTGATGATGCAGGACGGTGATTTGGGTTAAAGGGTAGAAATGCGGAGACGATGTGTGTGTGTGTGTCAGTTTTTGCAGAGGATAGCATTGGAGCTGGCAATTCCGGTGTGCTTTTCGGTAATATTTCTGAATAAATGTTCTATTTTTAACCTTTAATTGATGATGCGCACTGCATTTCGGGTTACGTACAGTAGCGTTTGTATTTATAGAAAGGTATAAAGACAGTTTGTGAGTGTATCTGTGTGTTTTCACTGGTGTAACTGGCAGGGGGTGTGTGTTTTCTCTGATCCTCTCAGCTCCTGCGAGGCAGTGGTGGCGGCCCCCAGGTGCTAACTGTGTGACAGCAGCTTGATCTATCGATCGCACTAAGAGGGGTCTCCTCGCCTAAATGAAAATTCATGAAAAATTGATGAAGTCCCCGATTATTCTTTTTTTTCCTCTTGTATCGTTCTCTCTCTCCCACTTCCCCCTCTCAATTCTTGCTTTCAGCTCTCCGTGTGTGCTTAGACACAGGCTGTGTATGAATCACAATCTGAAAAGGCACCGTTTTATGAATGAAAGTTCCTTGTAATGAAACACCATCCAACACACCATACAGTAATATCAAATCAAGAAAATATTTAGTGACTAAAGCATTTATGTCTCAGAAGATCTGTTGAAATCAAATCAAAACAATTGATGTTTCTAATAGGGCTGCATGATAGGTGAAAAAATCAGTTTTACTGCAATACATATTGCGATATCAATACAGTTTCGCCAGATGAGCTCAGAATAGCTCTTTTCGGAAATAATTCATTCATTTAGATTGACTTTAAATTATTTGCCTTCATCTGAATATGAGAATAATATGACTAAAGTGTTTACATGAGTTGCTTTTTGAATGTTACAATTTAAAACTCCCGTTTTACATGTTATAGCACATAATCCAATTAACGTCATTACGTCACTACGGTATCCACATTTCCTCAAGAGTTTTATGTAATTTCAGATGTTTCATTTTTAATTTGTCGACTTCAACTGCAGTTTGGTACTTTTACTTTCGTTCAGGAACATTTCATGCATGCCCCAGTGACAAACAAGATGTTGGATGTGAGTATGAACTGCAGGAAGAGTGTTGTTTTAATGGAATTTTATACCACATGCCGTATGGAAAAAAAAACAACCTCTAAAATTCATGATGCAGGTGTCTATAGTCCTTCACTGACTCTGTAGGTGCAGAGAATTGTGACTAACAGCCATGTGTGTATGCACTATCCTATCACCAAATGCGGTGAAAATCCTACTCTGCGGTAATTGCAGTGTTTACATGTCTGTACTGCACTTCAGTAATGCAACTACAATGCGCATACTCCACATGTCTTAATTCCATTTCTGTTTAGTTCGACCATGACCTTAATCAGATTAAATTAATCAAAAATCGCTGTTTACATTGTAGACTCTTAATCAGAATATTCAGGAGCAGAAATCAAATCAAATGAAGAATCAAATGTCAAATCAAATTCAACAATCATACTTTCTTGTGCAGGAATGCTTTAAAGTCACACTGCAGTGTCTTGTGTGTTCTGACCTCTGGTGCTAATCAACTATAATACTGACTCAACATTGCATACCCTGCGATAAGACTCTTGGAGATGAGCATATTGACCATATATATGCTGAAATGATATATTATTCTGCCCTAATTTCCAAATCAATTATGAGTTATTTCTGTATTTATATACATCTAGCTTAGTTCTTTCCACCTCCATAGACTCAAAAAAGTCAACCCAGTCTCGTTTTGATTATGTACTGCTATATACATTTCTGGAGACAGCAGACTATGTCTCGGGAGCATTTTTTTTTTTTTTTTGCTGTTTTTGTTTGCGCAAATCCACCAGAGGGTGCTGTGTATGCTTTTTGAGATCTTAAATTTCTGCTATTTCAACTGTCGATTGACTGACTTTCTGACTGACCAACCAAACGACCCCCCCCTCTTCTTCCCTATTCCCAAAACCCAACCAATAGCATTTTAAAATGCAACGATTGACCCGCCTGACCCATTCTTCACAAGACTCGAACCTTATTGTCTCGGTCAACTCCTCTCTGCATCTCAAGTCCGCCGACATACATGTCGAGCTACCTAACAAACTGGTAACAGTGGTAAACCCGTCCATACGGAGGTAGGCGTGAAAATAAACGTATATATACAGTAGGGCTATGTTTTGAGAATGAGCCTATGTTGCAAAAAATATTTTTGCTGCTTATTCAAAGTTTTTTGGGGGGACAACTTAATTGTTTTATATTTAATTGACTTAAATTTATTACATTAACTTAATCAATTAGTGTTGGGACAACATGAATGAATCTTGTGGAACCCTGCATTTTTTTTACAGTGCGTTCAGCTTGCAAAGGCTGTATTTTTGAGGTTTCAGACACAGGCAGAGGTGAGTGAAAGAGTTTAAATGAGCTGTAGGATGCTTTACGACTTTCGGGTGAGAGGTGAAGGGTCGTAAGGTTAGCGGGACAGCGGATACTAAACCTACAGCAGGAACGACCAAGAACTGTATTTAAACGAAAGCCCTCAGCTGTGTTCCGTTACACAATTTCCACTCATAAAACTTCTCTTTACTGGTGTGTGATCACAGAAGCGAAGCCAATCTAAACCCATACTGCTCATGTGTTGCTCCAAGCAAAATATGCTTCATCTGTCACATCGCCGAAAGATTCTGAAGCGGCGTTGTTTTCTCTAGAAGTAAATGTTGATTTTATAGCCAGCTGTGTATATCTGATCTATATGAAATACTCCCAGACGTGCATACATATAAAGGGTTCACCTCCAAAACAAACAGCTGGCTTTCAGTGACAGACTGAAAAAATGTGGCGAAAGTTCCTGACTTTTTTTTTTTTTTTTGCGACATTCATTTTTTAAAGGGCACCTATGTTGCAAAATCAACTTTTAGATGCTGTTTGGATGGAACTCTGTGTATGTATAGTGTGTCCACTTTCACATTGGAGTGATTTAAACACAAGTTTCTTTTTTTTTTTCCTGATGTTAAAATTGGATACAAATTCCAGTGATTTTTGAGGCCAATGGCATTGTGACTTAGTAGTGCTGTTTTTCTCACCCACCAAATTGACTGAAGATCTGTTCCAACTCTCTGTGAT